AAAGCTGCGCCTAGTCTCTGAGGAAAAGGGGGCGGGGCGGAGGGGAGTCGGCCAGCCAGAGCTGGGAGGTTTGAGTGGCGCGTTGAACAGACGCAGATTCGTCAGGCGGGCGGGGCGAGTTGGTGCACTAGGTGGGTGCTCCTTCGCTCCTCTTCCCAGCCCCTTCCTCGCGCGGCCAAAGGTCTGAGAGGCTGCAGATTCGCCTGTGCTCCTGGGCTCGGCCGTCGACTGTCTTCATCCAGCTTGGTGGAGTCAAGAAAATAACGCCCCGTTAGCCAAGCCCTGCTGGCAGAGTCGGCCACTCTTTCTGGATCTTTCCTACTGGCACGACTCGAGACAGCTCACTTCTGGCCTCGGAGGAAATGGGTATAGCCCAAAGCTCCTCTCTGCGTCCGATGAGAATTTCCAGCGGAGTATAGAGGGGCTCCAGTAATTCTGAGGAGCCGGCCTGGCGAATCTGCAGAGCCTAATGTGGGCGGGGCCAAGGTGCTGCGCGCAGAGGGGCGTGGTCAGAGCGTGCGGAGCCCGGCGACGCAGGGGTGCCTCCTAGAGGACCCACCGAAACCGGGGCGAGATGGGAGGGGCGTCCGGGAGCTGGAAAAACAATCAGGAGCGGTGACTCCGGCAGCTTGCCCAGCCCCGCACAGGAGGCAGGGAGCGTTTTCTTCCCGTTATACCCCTTCGGCCCCTAGTTGCTTAACGGTGCCCATTTCACAGATGGGGATACTGAGGCCTGTAGAAAGTACCGCATGTCGCTGTCCTCGGCCCACAATTGCTGGTTAAATTCAGGGCTGTTTTAAGGGTCTCTGGTAAGCCTGGTGGTGCCTAAAGGCCCTTAAACGGGCCTTATTAAAAAAAAAAAGTAAACTAGGCCATAAAAGAACTGTAGTGGACTGGTCCATTCTCTAGACATCATGGTTCCAGTGAGCACTTTCTTATGCTCACAGGATTTTGCAGCTGAAAGGTAACACGGGCGCAGGCCTACACGCTGGGGACCCTTTTTATCCATGGTGGACTCGGGCACTCTGGACTCTGGGCTTTCTCAAGCCCTCTCTGCCTGAGTTGAGTCTGCCCTAGCTTCCTGCCACATCTTTTGTCAGTCCCCTGCTGTGTGACCTTGGGTATGTCATGATCTAAGCTTCAGATTCTTCCACTAAAGACGGTGTTAATTCTTGTCACAGGACTACTGTAGACATCAGAACAGTGCAGGAAAGGCCCTTGGATCTTGGTTTATGCAACTTCACCGTTTTAAGTAATAGGAAAGGGGGAGGGTTTTCAGACCACAAGAAGACAGGACTCTAAAATTTTGAGGGAAATGAGGCTGAAAAGTACATTTATGTGGAGACTTAGGTAATGAGATCAGGATTCTTTTGTCCCAGTTAAAAACTACTGGTTCCTATTCTCAAATCAAATAGATTCCTGTGGATGGCAAAGGTAATCAAGTTATTTCACTGACTAGCTGTTTGGCTTTGAGCAAGATCCTTAGCCTTCCTTATCTCTGAAATGGAAATGGTAAAGACTTGTCTTCTAACGTGGTTATGATGGTTAAATGAGATTAACTGTGAAGAGCCCCTAGTATGTAGTAGTCACTCAAGAAACTTACATAAACCCTCAATGGAAGAGATAGAGACCTTAAGCTTGGGAATAGGAATTCACAGGCCTTTGGTCTTGGAATAACTCTCCATATTCAAAAGCTATTGGTCCCTGTCAGCACCTGACTAGGTCATACCTAGAACCCATTCTCTGCTAAGAATACTTGCCCTCCCCTGATTCTTAGAAACAAGTAACCTTATTCCAAGAAGGCCTCCCCTCTGCCCAATTCACAGCCACAGGGACATCTGTGAAACACAATTTATTATACAAAACAAGGTGCATTAAAAATTCAGTGTCAGAAAAGATCGACATTCCAAGAGCTAGACACCAGACCTTCTCCCTTAAAACCTCCTCACCCAGCCTTGCTAAGGTGTCAGGCTGGGCACACAGGTCTTCAGTTCAAAGACCCCACCCCCACCCCTAGCCCTGGCCCAGGAGAGTGGAAACCAGATGTAGATACCTAAGTGTGGGCCTAGGGCTATGGGGCAGGCACTGCCTCTTCACGTGTGGTCATGATTATCAACAGTGGTGTGGACGGATAGGGCTTGAAAAACATGGAGATCCCCAAATAGGGAGGTTACCCCTAGGAAAGGCTAAACTTATGTACCTGAAGTAGAAACACCCAATTCCCTCTACAGCAACTGAAGCAAGAATGTGGAACCATCAAAGTCTGGGGATTAAGGAAAAACTTTCCAAAAATGCCAACCGTAAAATAGATTCTAGGGGGAAAAAATTAAGGGATGACTGTCTCTGGGATAGCCGTGTGGGCTTGTGACCTCAACATCCTGTAGAGGAGCAAGCAGCCAAGGGTCAGCACCAAAGCCCCCCAGGTTCTTCCTGCCTCTCCTTTCTCTACCACATGATCCTTGGGACTAAGGACCATCTATTTCCTCCCATCCCAGGCACAGAATGGAACTTACAAAACTCATGGGAAAGACCGATGTGAAATCCTTGGGAATGTGGGAGCTGCCCAAAGGATTCTGCAGCTAGGAGTCTAACCTCTACCTGAGAGTGGCCACAGGAAGTGGCTTCAGCTAGGGGCAGGGAATGAGGTCTGTAGCCCCCTGGGGCCTGTTGCAGGCCCCTGAGGGAGGCAGTGCTTGCAGCAGAGGCTAACACCAGCCTCACACAGCCTGCAGCTCCCCCTGCAGGCGACTCAGCTCCTCCAGCTCCTGCTTATGGCGGTCTGTCTTGTGTGTCACCAAGGAACGGTAGAAATGCAAGGCAAAGGCCACAAACACAAGCCCCACAGGTACCATAATTGCTGTGGAGGCCATGGCTGCTTGCCAGCCTGGACCATGGCCCCCATCACCACCACCACATGCTTGCCGGGGTGGGCAGGCCCCAGATGGCTCAGCCTGTGATGGGACTACAGAAGCAGAGGATGGTGGGAGATTGGAAGCTGGAATAAAGGAGGGGGCCACTGGTGACAGAGTTCCAGGCACCTGGGATGTGGTTATCCCTGGGGCCCGTGTGTTTGAGGGGGCCCCAATGGGTACAAACTTGACCCAGCCAACCAGGACAACTTCAGCAAGGAAGAGAAAGGTGCCCAAGGCAGTGGAGAAGCCCCAGGCCAACTCCACATAGCGGTGGAGACGCTGGTGTGGTGACTGGTGGACGGAGTTGAGGTTGTGGATGTTGCTCACAGCCTCAATGTGGGGCAGCAGACACGTGGAGACCATGAGTGCAAAGAGGTGCACAGCCACTAGCACGGTGGTGCAGGCGCTGAAGGCCACCAGCAGGCCTGGAGGGTATTCGTGGTTGCTTTCCAGCTGTACCTCCACCATGGCCACCTGTGGGGACAAGAGACGGAGTGACTGTCTGTAACCTCCTCAATGGGAGCGGTTTTGGGGCCTGTTGGCATATATCACAGATAAGAGTCCTAGAACTAGAATAGTGTCTGGCAGAAAGGGGGTATTCAGTCTTTGTTCACTGAGTGAATGGGGAGACTTAACAAGGCTATTCTGTTCTGGGCCTTGGTTCCCTTGCCTGGACACTGAGAGGGCTGGATGGCATGTTCTGGCAGCTTTACCTTGTTATGTGGCACAGGGAGCAGTCTGGAGCTAGGCTGCCTGGGTTCATGCTCAGCTCTGTAAGCTGTTTAATCCTGAACTAGTGACTTAGTTCTCTCTGCACCTTGGTGTCTTTTCTGCAAAAGAGGACTGAAAATAGTACCTCCCTGTCTTACAGGGTTGTGAAGATTAAATGAAGGGAACCAGCAGTTAGCGTAATGGCTATGTCGCTGGATTCCCACGTAGTCGACCGCGGTTCGTGTCCCGGACCCGGTGGCTTAAAACTCACGCCGGGCGCGTGTGCGTGCGTGCCCAAGATCCCGAGAGGAGAATGGAGGAGAAGGGATTGCGGCGTGACCATCCCCCCTGGGGGGTGATTTCTCGCTTTCTGTCTCTATGTCTCTCTCTGTCTGTCTGGCGAGCGCACACGCCCTACAGTGAAAATCTCTCCAAAAAAAAAAAAAAAAGATTAAATGAAATAATTCATATCATGTGCTAAGAACAGCGCCGGGCATATAGTAAGCACAAGGTAAGTGTTTGCCGTTATTATTGTGAACGTTCAAGTCTGAGGCCAGAGTTTGCAAACTGGCATATCATGAACCAAAGCCAGCTCGCAGACATGTTTTGCTTGGCTCACACAGTGTGTTTTTTAAAAAACTAAGTGGCCAACTTTTAAAACCCAAGAAACTTCATATAAATATCCTTATTTTGAGATCCTGAAAACTTGGGAGATCTGGTTACAATGGGCTCACATTCTTACATGACAACTGGAGTTGAGTGTGGCTCTCACCCATTTGGACAGGTCTTGGGTTCTCTTAACAGTCCCCAGCCAGCCCATTTGGCATCCATATTACCTGCCTGGCCTTTGCAAATATTTGAATCGATGACCTTGTTCTAGGAATGTGTAAATTTGGACTCTAGAGCAAGACTGCTTAAGTTCAAATCCTGTCACTTACTTGCTATGGGATCTTGGTCAAGCATGTTTTTTTTTTTTTTTTTAAGAATGGTTTTATTTAACATTATTTATTTATTTATTTTAATATGATCAGAGAGGGACAGAATGAGAGAGCAAGAAAGTGAGAAACCAAGCCGGTCCAGGACTAAAACTGCAATCCACCATGTGGGAGTCCAGCACCCTTAACCACCACACCACCTGTCAGCCCTTGCTCAAACATCTTAGCATTTCTTTTCCCTTCTATTTATTTATTTATTTATTTATTTATTTATTTATTTATTGAGACAGATTTTTCTATGGAGCAGGTGCGCTAGCCAGAGAGGTAGAGAGACAGAAAGCAAGAACCCACTCCCCAGGCGGTATGGCCACACTGCAATCCCTTCTGCTCCATTCTCCTCTTGTGATCTTGGCCATGCATGCATAAGTGCCCAGCATGAGTTTTAACCCTCCAGTCCAGGGACTCAAACCACAATTATGTGGGAGTCCAGCAATGTAACTATTATGCCATCTGCCATTCCTCATATTAACATTTCTAAGCCTCAATTTTCTTACCTGTAAAATGACCACAGTAGTGGTACCTACTTCGTAGGGTAACAGAAAAATACCTCTAAGAAATCCCTGCACGCAGTGCCTGTGCTTAGTGACAGTGGGATACAATTTGTACGATGTTATTCTTTTGTATCACATTATTCTCTCTGGCCACCTGGGTTTCAGAACCTAGCTCTTTCCCATCCCTAGTTGTTGCAAGATCTTGCAGACTTGGGCTGCTCTGGGGCTGAAGAAAGGAGAAAAAAATATGGAGTCTGGTAGCAGGTGGGAAAACAAGGCTGAGTATTTTGGGAAATTGGGCCATGGCAGGTGTCAGCAGGTGTTTTCTAGACAGGGATCTGGGCCAGGCTTAGTCCTGGTTTCTCCCAGAGTGGCCCAGCATGTCTCCTCTGCCAGGGGCTGGGGCCAGGACTACCCCCAGAACCTACACATCCAGCCTATGGATCCTACAGAAAAGGCTCTGGCCCCTTAAGTTGTCACTCCAGCAACGTGCAAGTCCTGCAGCTGCAGCAGACCGGATTGTCCCCTTGGGAACAGGCTGGACTATGGGTTGACCTCTCTCAGCTAGGTCTGTGAGTGGCTATTCCCTTCCCTCTGAAGTCTATAGATGAAGTAAGCCAACTTCCTGTCTCCACATGGCACCCCATCAGGAAGGGTGGGCTGATCTGTGGATTCTGGGACCCCCACATAGAAAATATAGGCTGAGGATGACCCTTAGGGTTACAGATTTTCCCTGTCCTCATTCAGATGCAGAGGTGGGGGCACAGGGACTAACTGGAATCACCTGTTGTATGACCCCCACCTTAGCTGCCTCTTATATCCATCTCCACAGGGGGCACATTCCCAAAAGCACCCCCACTTTCTACTTTTCCTGTGACGACAGTGGGAAAACCCAGTGACGCTGAATCCCAGTTCATCCTATAGCCATCATCTGCTGAGTGCCACTGGCAGAGCCATCGCTCCACTCTGGCCCTGGGTTTCCACACCTGTCCCACTGGCAGACTGAGCTCTGACATGCTTGGACCTGGGGTTCCTGATGACAATCCCAGCTCATCCCAGGCGGTACTTGGCAGGCTGCAGAGGGCGCACCCTCCATGACCTCACTATTTCCCACTGGTCTGCGAGGGCGTGGAGGCCCGTCCAGGGTCACACAGCTGGCCATTAGGAGGGAGGAGCCATGCCTTGTATCTGTTGGCTCCGACACTGGGACCTCCCTAAGTCCCACTTCCTGTGCGGCCGCCCCTGGGCCCGGCCCGGCCCGTTAGCTGATACTCTCCCACACCTGCAGTTTATCAGCTGAAGAATCAGGGTATCAGCTTCCTAATCAGCATCCTTCCCGGCGGCTTCCTCTGTTCTCAGAGTTTTCCTGGGTGACGCTGACACCTTCCTTGCCGGCCGCCGAGTGGCCAGCTCCCGCGGGATGGGCCCACCTTCAGGTGGCTGACCCCTGGGGTTTTGCCTTTGATCCTCTCATGAGCGCTTACTAATAGTAAGCACTGCCGTGGGCCCACTCCGCTCCATCGCGGAACGCTGACGCCCATTAGTGATGTTTGCCCCCTCCCCTCACGACACTCTTGGGACTTAGCACCCATGGCCTCGTTTACCCCGACACCCACAAGGAGGGACTCGTTTCTCCTCTACCCCTTAAACACCCATTCTTCCCTTCCTCGGCCCCGTCATCCTCGGTGACCCGTTCCTTCGCCCACGACCCTGTGCCCCCCACGTGCTTCACGCCCACCCAGGGTGCCCCCTTCCCGCCCCTCACCATGGCGAAGCCCGAGAGCAGGGCAGACGTACGGCTGGAGGCTTTGAGCTTGGCCCGGCTGAGGTAGAGGCGGCGCCAGCTGAGCGCCCGCAGCGAGTGCTGACTGGCCCCCATGAGGTCCAGGTAGCCGCGGTGCACGAACTCTCGGTACGTGGCCGAGCCTGCCGGGCTCTCGGCCTCCGGGTTCAGCGGGGCCTGCTCGCCCGCGTCCCCCTCGCCGCCCTTCATCCTGGGGGCGGAGGCACCAGGCGCGCCGGGCAGTCACCGCGGGACCGAGGCGCCCCGGGGGCCCCAGAAGGGCTGGCCCAAGCCGGGGGGAGGCCTCATCCCCCCGGCCCGGTAAGCCGAGATGCGGGCGGCGGGCGCCCAGGAAGAGGCGGCCCCAGCGGAGCGGGAAGAGCAGGCGTCTGCGGGGAAGTCCCAAGGGCCGAAGCGGGACAGCAGAGGC